GACCCGAGAAGACAGCAACGAGAACCAAAGCCAGCTAAAGTTGAATTAAAGAAGCGCAAGAACAATATTTGGCAATTGGGGGAACGAGATTCTGAACTTGGCGTCCAAGGGTGTGCATTAAATTGATGTGAGAATCGATTGAAAGCCAAATGAAAAGCTGCTTAATGAATCTAAGTGGGAAAAATTATGTGTTAAAGTGCTTCAATGTTCATAAAAAATATATACCCCTTTCGAAAGGTTAAATGGGAGTTTACTTTTTTTATTAAATCAGAATCTCAAGTTCTGTTACGCAAAATAAATATTTTATTATTATAACACAAGTCTTATTCTAACTGTGATTCAGTTTAAATAGATCTTTCTAACTTATAAGACTTGTTGTCTGGTTTATACATAACAAACGCTACATAATCTTTAATTTTTACCTAAAAGAATTTTAAACATGAATACAAAAAACTAAAATCAATATTTGGTTTTAAGTTAAACAAATCATTTTTTAAGTATTTGTATACACCAATTTTTTCTGCTTTGCCGTCGGCAATTATTCTTTGGTAGCAAATTAAAATTATTTAAAATAACATTTAAAATCTAGAAGATTCAAGAAAAAGAAAATATAATGTTGGTCTTAATACGCTTTTTGACCTTGCTAGTACTTTTAATTGTTTTCCAAAAAAAAGATAAATAATGGCCGCTCGAATCAATTTGCAAAAACCCTAAAAAGTGAGACACACACACACTCGCACACACAGATGCACAAACACACCACGTCAACAACAATAGAGAGCCATGAAACAGGAAAGCGGCCATGATTTGCCGTCGGCAATTTCCAAAAATCCTCGACATCAACCATTGCGGAGCGAAGTTCCAAGTGAAGAGCGGAGAACTTTACTAGTGATGTCGGTTTGGCTAGTGAACTAGCAATAATTCTAATGCTTTGGCGGTGAATAAAGTATTTTTAGTTTTTGAAATTTAAAAATTATGATCGTAAAATCGTAGCATTTATATTTTGTCAATTTTTATAGAAAAGTCTTAAAAATATAACGATATATAATAAACTAAGTTAAAGGAGCAAATCGTTTACGTGACAATCCCTTTAATTAATATCGAAACCAATCTTGTATTTTTATTAAAATCTTACAATTCTATTTTTATGTTTGTAGCCATTTTTATGTAGCTATAAGCTATTCCAGCGCATGGAATTGCTGGCAGCATTGATGGCAAGTGCCACCCACCCACAAAAACTGGAATAACAGCTGCGCTAAGAGAGTCCTCTCTTATCCTGATGTTTTCTTAAGAGCGCCACACAGCTGTTCAGCAGTTTGGCGCCAAAATAAAACTCCTCTCACTGGAAGTAAAGAGAAGAGAAAAGCAGCGGCTTTCAGTCAGGACCAAAATATTGTTTTTCGCTTTGCTTTTTTCCTTATTGGTTGTTTCCTCATTATAAGTTGAAATTAAGTCCATTGCCAAATCGAACGATACCGATAACTGCCCTCGACTGACTCGCATATTGATCGAGTACTTTGGGCCAATATATTTACATAAATTCTCCGCTGCCGTATTTGTGGCACGCAACATAAAACTTTCGATCATTTAAGGCAACCGACAAGAATTAGATTTGGCTTTGGTTATTTTCGTCTTTGGCCCATTCGCACGTTTGACCCCCTTCAAGGTAATCGCTTTTGGCCAATCCAAATGGGGTTGTGCCAACAGTCGAATAATTTTCGCAACACTGAAAAAAGTCGTGGAGCCTTGGCCGATATATAGAAATCATTTTTGTTGTTTAATTGTTAAGGTTCTTAAGTCAATATCCAAGAATGTGTATTTTTTAAGTTATTTTGTGGGAACTGTGTTTAAAAATCTGTTTAAACAGCAAGAATTAAATTATTCAAAACTTAAATTGTTTTAATTATTATATTTATTTTTTACCACCCAAAAGTCATAAGAATCTTTTACTCCGTTTTGAACATGAAATCTAACCAATCAAGAAATGTTGGCTTTCCTACATTTTTAATTTTGTTATAAATATAAACAATTATAATCGTTTCAGCTTCAGACCTGAGGAACCTACCCTAACGATTTGGGAACTCTTCAACCATTTTCCCAATCGCGGCCAAACCGCAAAACTACTCAAATCGAATCCCAATAACGAAGACCTTCGCATTCCTACGCATCCGCTCCAGTATCTCAGTTTCTGTTGCTGTTTCTGTCCCCTGTCAGTTGGTTAAGATATCGAAATATGTGCAAATGTATATAGCCCCGTCCCGTATCGATTTCAAATTGGAAGTCGCAGCTCGCACGGCCCGCAAAACAGAAACAGAAAATAATTAAGTTCTCAAAAGATAAAAATCATGTTAGCCGCAGATCAATTAGTTGATTTTTACCATAACCCGGGCATATATCAATTTTAGTTCGCCTCCTCCACTGCCTCTTCTTCTTCTACGACTACGTGTTGTGCCCGAAGTGACGCCCCCACCACTTCCACCCGCCTCCCACTTCACCCCCGCCAAAAAGTGGTCCGCTTAGTGCATAAATTTACATATGAGAATGTCTGGAAATGCTTTTTGAAGGCTGTTGAAAAGTTGCTGCAGCGGGGGCTCAGTGGGTTAAAGGGGGTGAGGGGTGGTGAAGTGGCGGGGGGAGGGTGGTGGAGGGTTCTCCTTGGATGTAGCACCTGCTTTTTGGCCTGGAGCAAGACACTCGAGTGGCCGAGAAGGAGCCTCGAATGGAGGCTGATACTGGACATGCACATGCTCGGACGTCAGTAACTCATTTATCGCTTAACTCCTTTTTACCAGACTCAAGTCTCGCACGGAGAGAAATACAATCCCATTGGTTATAAACTGTTTGTAAGGAGGTTTCAAACGAAAAAGGTTTGTTATATGTTATACGTTTCTTTGAGTAAAGCCATGTGCTCCTAATTCTCAACAAAAAGTTAACACTCCTTGGGAAACCTTTAATTAATAAAAGATTCTGAGTATAAAACTTTAAAGGTAAGATTACAAGTTGTGTATTTTTGGGTATAATGATAAATAACAGGACTTATATGGCTTGTTCCTGCACAAATTAATTATAACATATTTATATCAAAACCTTGAATCATTTGGTGACATTTTTCGCCACGTGTACTATCTGTTTCTGTTTCGGTTTCACTGGTCTTATTTTATTTTATTTTGACAACGAATTTGCATGCGCTGGAAATTGTGTTTTGAGGCTTGTTAATTTTGACTAAAGTCGCTGCAGTTACGTGCTGCGTTCAGTTCAGTTCACTTCGGTTCGGTTCTGTTCCCAATCCCAAACCCAATCCGAGTCCGAATCCCCGATCCCAGAGTCGCGGCCCATTGCGTGACTGACCCAACCTGAGAGACTTACGCATGCGCGCGCTTACAAACGCCAAACTGAGTTTCACGAAAAAAAAAAAGCAAACCAAAGCAAAAAAAAAAAAAAACAAACTGTTAAAAACAGCAAACAAAAAAAGACTGGCAAGGAAAAACAAGTAAAATGTGAAACAAGAACCAAAACAAAGTGTTCGATGTTTCCGTTTCAAATTCTGTGGAAGAAGACATTTGCCAAGGCCCCAAAGTCTCGCGGCCTGTTCCATTGTGGGACCAAACTCAGTGGGACAGTGGGACCTCGGGACGGAGACAATTGGCGCGCAAACAATTGTTCGGTTTCGGTTCGTTCTTTGGTTCTTTGCCTTGGCCTCTGCTCGCTGGCCCCACGAAAAAGAACAAGTTCGGTATTTTGCGTTAAAGCACCACTAAACTGGGAAGAACTTTCCGACCAGCTCCACTTGGTCTAAACAGTGGGCTTAATTGCCAGGTATACAAATTTGTATTAATAATAATTTAATAATTAATAATTTTACCAAAATTAGAAGCTAAACTTATGTTTATTTCAAGGTAAACATTATTTACTTCCATTTTGGGTAGAAATATAGCTAATACTATTCAGATATTATAACTCAAGTATTGAACTTGATAACAAGAATATTTCAAGCTGCATTAATTCGGAAATTGTTTTCCCCAGGAAGTTCTGCCACGCCCACTGTGCCGCCCATCCCACTGCTCAAGCAACTGGGCGATTGTGGCGCAGATAAAAGAAAGGCACTTGAGCATTACATCGGCGGAGGCAGGCAGAGCATGCTCTGCAGCTCCTCCAAACAGCCAAGATTTCGTTTCGGACCAAGTCCGCAACACACAAAAAAGAACAAAAAATCGAGGGAAAAAGTGCAAGGGAATTAACAATTCATTTTATTGTTAAGTATGCGGCCCGCCGGACCCACAAATGGGGAGAGTTCGGGGGTCCCGGCCTCTTTTTAGACCATCTTGTTAGGCCCTGTCTGCAGATTCTCGTTTGCTTCGTTTTTTTTTCCGTTCAGCTGGAGCATCCTTCCTCATAGTTAATAATGCGATAATTTCATTTTCATTCAAAGCAAATCGAAGGCAGCAACAACAAAGGGGCAAGAAAAGCAGCAGCTACCGAATTACGAGCCATAAAAAAGGAATAAATAAAAAAGGAGGCAGCTTGTTGCTGGATTTCTTAGCGTGTTGCGGCAACATGTTGCCCAGTTCTTTTTTTTCGCTCTTTTCGGAATGGGTGAAAAAACCTGATGCATGCGCAAAATTTAAATTATGTTGTTTTGTCGCATGTTTTTCTCCTCTTCTTTTGGCTGCGCTTTGTCGTTGTTAGTCTTTTTTCGCAGTTTAGTTCTTAAGGCATTATCAATGAATAAATGAAAATGTCTTTTGTCCAGGGAAAATTGTTGTTGCCGCAGATGTTGGCATGCAACTGCAGATCGCTTAACATCTTCTTTAAGTCGCTGTTTTATGTCACAGCCAACTGTCATTTGTACATTGAATTGCGGTCTCCTTCGCTTCTTCGCTCCCTGGCGATATGTTCGATTTGCATAAAATCACAGGAAGCACTTAGGATTAATAGCGAGCGCCCCGAGTGTCGCGGGTTAAACATTTGTGTAACGAAAATTGATTCAATTTGGTGCTTACCTTTTTCGACGTGCAGCTATATTCTCGTAATCCATGTAAGTAATCCACCTTTGTTATCCATTTACTGCGGGGTTAATCCAAAATTGCACTGCAATGGAAAAACAAAAGCCATTTTAAATTTGGTTAAATTGTTGCTTAGAAAAAAGTTCTCTTCGTTTTCTTGCTGGCGCCATCTATCGGATGGTAGCGGAAGCGCCCATGTTAAATTCCACGAAAGTGAAATTTTTGGGACTTTTTGTATATGTTTGTGTATGTGTGCGTGGGGCATTAATAGCATTTAATTAATTGCCTTTTTTATAATTTAAAAACTTTTAAATTGACAGACTCCACACGAAAACAAAGAAAGTATCATATGCACATTTTTAGTATAAATCGAAGTTAAAACAAAATGGTTAGGTTTTATGAGGTAGCTACAATAGTAAACAAAGAGTTCAAGAAAATCGTTTCCTCTAGCACAACCATTTGAAAAATGTGTCCCAAATAAATTTAATTAAGTTTGGAAATAATTCAACTACTAGTATGTACATACTTGTTTTGTGTATAGTTTGAATAACTTCCTATGAATAACCAAAAAATGTTATACTTAAGATTGAAATTCTTTTCTAACAAACAAAACAACTCTTTGAATCATGAACATTTGCTTATCTATCGAGGCCCAGTAAAACAAAATAAATATCTATCCCACACCAATTATTTTGATAAGCGTCTAAAAGACAAAAGTTTCCCCTGTTCCGTTGCCTTTTCCTTTTGACATTTTCCCACCTTTTAATGTCACCGAGTCGGTTCGCATACGGAACCCAGAAAAAACCGAAACCAAAGGCAGAAACGATCGACAGAAAAAAGATCACTAACAGCGAAAACAGCAAGAACAACAAGGAAGCTGGCCATGGCCAAAAGAGTCAACGGAGCCAAAGACCAAGTGGCAGACTGTCAGGTTCAGGTTCAGTTTCAGCTTAAGTTTGGGCCCCAGGTTCACAGATTCAAGCTCGACTCGGAGCTGCTGTCATATCCTTTTGCGGTAAAAGACGACTGAGAAAAAGGCGGGAGGACGGAGGGGCGGAGGAGCGGATATTTGAGACCGCTTCTCATTCATTTGCGCCAAATGTCATTATTGTTGCTCGTTTGTTGTTGGTCCTTTTGTGGCCGCTGCTGCCTCTTTTTGTGGCATCTTCGGGTCTTTTGTAAAACTCCCTCGTTAAACAGATTATTTTCACACCCGACTTCAGCGCTTGGCTTTTGGCTGCTGCCAATTTGGTAAGTGAATTGAATGGAATGGCCCGGACTCTGAAGTGCAGTTCTCTCCTTGCAGGCGTTAATAATGCGATTTCAATGCAGTTGACTGCACTGCTAATAAAATATAGTATAAGTTCGTACTATGAATAAGCTTTGGATAAGTAGTACAAAATTTAAATATTTATTTATATTTCTTTTATATTCGTATACCCATAAAAGAAGGTATTACTGCAATATTTTATTTAATATTTTTCGCTCATCCCAAAAAATAACTTGTATGCTAAAGTCTTTTAATATAAAAATTTATATTCCATTTTGATTTGATACTTGTAAAAAAATAAGTATTTGTATAACAAGACTTTATACTTGTACATCGGATTGTCGCAGTGTGGACAAAATTCAAAGACCCTCAAAGTGCGAAATGTTTTCTTTTTATATTTATTTGGGGAGACCTTATGAAAGCGACAGAAGGAGTGACACATGTATGCACCTGGTTTAGAAGGTTGCGGTGCCAACAATGGGCAGGCTTCGATTTGGATGCGAATAAGCTGATTGTTAATTGAGCGAGGTAAGAAAAGAATTACCAGAACTTTAGCTCTTAGTTATAATATTCTAGAGCGAGATTTGGGACATGATGGTGAAGATTAGATTAAAAACTATTATTCATTTTTTAATACGAAAATCAAACCCATTTTTTAAATTTTGTACAGGAAACCAAAATATATCATACTTCACTACAGCTCTAACTTTTTTTAAGCCGTTATTTAAATATCTGAAAGTAGTTTCCTAATAGTTGTTTAAATAGCAATTATTTATTTTCAAATGCAGCCATTAGGTGAATTTCACTTGAGAAATCCAGTGATACACTCCCAATCGAAATAATGATCGTTGAAGAAAGTGAAGGCTGCTATATTTTTGAGGGGTTTCCTCCCCAATCATTTCGCACCCAAGACTTGAAGACTTGGAGGTACTTTGCCGCAAAGCGTTTGAAATGTTTTTTGCGGACACGCTCTGCGGCACGTAGCCCTCGCGAAAAAAAACAAGAAGAAAAAAGCCGAGAAACCCTTGGAATTCGAAAATATTTTATTGCAAGAAAGGGGGTTGGGGGAGGGGGAAGACCACCTAGGCGTAACTGTACCCAAATTGATATGCATAATTTTTGCGCTATTTGCGCTGTTTGTTTTGATCGCGAAAATATTTTTGCGCTCGCTGCGTAATTGTTGAAAGTCAGGCAAGGCAGGGCCGATATTCCGGGGGAAAGGGTGGCGAGGGGGCGGAGGGGCTGACACGTGAATGACAGATCAGACAACCAGCTCACGCCCAACATCAGAAAACATCCATAAATATTTTTGTCATTTAGCTCCCCAGCAGCGGCACTCGCTGCGATTTATGGCCGAGAGTCGTAAAAAACCGTAAAAAGCCTTCCCGCGAACCGAGAGCATCGTAAAATTAAACAGCGAAAATAGTTTTTGGCCGCTTAAGTCGCCGTTTGTGATCGAAATATTTAATTAATTGGTTGGCCCCTCGATCGATCGATGGATCGCTGGATCGTTGGGTCGCTGGATTTGATCGTGGGTGGCCACCCATCCCCGAATTGGAGTGCGATCGTTTGATTTATGCAGACAACGCGGACACATTTAATGAGCGGCGTTTGAATGCGTTGGACATTCCGCGCGAATCGAATTCTGCACTTGTCGCTAAAAATAAACGCGGGGAACGGGGATGCATTGCCAAATAAAATCGAAACTGAAGATAGGCGGAAAAAGTAAGCGCCATTTAACTTAAGGTAATCGAAAGCTTTTAGTTAAATACTTCCATCTCGGAAAAGTAATAATATATTCAAATATTTTGTTAGTTATATTAGCACAAAGTTGCAAGTATAACTTTTCACTTTTAACAGATATTTATTCTTTTATATGATTTTATGAAAAATAAAGGTATTTGCAATTCAACTGAAACATTGAATTCACTGTTATTTATATTTTCCCTGCATGTTTCCAGTGGTTGTTTTCTGAACTGTGGTGAAAGCTCTTGTAGAAGGATATTTTCGTGTGGGTTGGTGTGCTCGCTAAAGGATAATAGGGGAAAATGTGAAAAGGACCAGCGGAAAACTGTGGAACGTGTAATAGTAAAAATCTGGAGTGTGACACGGATACTACAGTAACTAAAGGAAGGATAATTGGGAAAGCTGTGGATTGAAAGCTCTTTTCTTATCAGGGGTGTCCTTTTAGTTTCTTTGGACTGTTTTAGTCATTGTTTGCAATCATTTTTTCCCATTTGCAAAAGAGGATTCAAAATCAATTACAAATGATTATTTTCCATATAAATTCTTTATTCGTTAGAAATCAAATATTTGTATTTAATTATCAGACTTTTAATATTTGCGTATTGCTACATTTTGCGAATTTAAACATGTTTCCAAAACTCAACAAGTCAAGCCATTAAAAAGTAATAAATAAAATATACATAATAACGCAATTCAAAGCAAACAACTGTCTTGAGCATGTCACATATCCATCATCGTCATGCGAGTCAGCAGATTTATAGTTAATAAAAAAACTAAAAATAAATAAAAAATACATTAAAGATCTACACAGACTTGTAAATAATTTGTAGACGAACAAAGCGCAGAACCATATTCAGAAGACCACACACAACGAGAAGGTTCAGACTCAGTGACGCCATAAAGCAAAAAAAGGCAAGAAAATTAAAATTTGATAACTACTACCCCAAAACGTAAGGCAGTAAAAAGTAAGTTCCTTTTAATTTTATGACAGAGCCGGCACTTAATAAACAATAATCATCATCTCAAGGGGAGAAGATCTTGATCTTCAAGTGGAACTAACTCCTCGACTCCATCACATATTTATATTTTCCTTATATACGTTTTTTTTTCCACAAAAATCGCCAGTGAATCGCATATTTTTTCGTGTCGGTCTTGTGCCAACGAGATTTGCATTTTGATGAATTGCAGGCGAAAGATGGAGAACTGAGAACCGAGCTGAAGTAACCTGTAAGTCATTTTCGTGACACTATCTGAAATGGCGGTGTGGAGATTGAGGGACAAAGTGCCAGAGCAACTGATGTACTTTTTTGCGCTTCTGGTCTCTTGTGTGACTTGAAATTTAAATTAACCTTTTGGTTTTCGGTCTTTTTCTGTTTTTTTGCCTCTTCAGCTGGGGTAATTATTTTTTCATTTTGCGAAAAAAAAGAAAAAATGCGAAGCTAGCTTTGGTTGGATGTGAGTTATTGTGCAAATTAAAATGAACGATGTGTCGGTAAGGTCGCCTTTTGTTGTCGTAGCGCCAACGACAAAGTCCCCCCTTCAAAGACCCTGAACCTGAACCGCAAGTGCGATGTTTCAGTCGTTTTTTCTATGCTTTTTGTTTCTATATCTTGTTTGGCTGTCTAGCGCGTACATGATGTGACTATGATTCGTGTTGTTCGCTCGCTCCGCGCCATGAATTTGCCCTGTCCATTGCGGTCGAGGCGATAAGAATCTCTCCCGAGTTCCCAGCTCAGAGCGGTCCAGATGAAAAGCCCGCGCCGGCGAAATATTGACTAAATGTCCGCGGAGCGGGCGGGACGTCCAACCTGACAGCGGTAAGTGATTAACTTTTTACATGACTCCGTCTTCATGGTCAGCGCTCTCCGATCCAATCTAAATTCATAAGACAAAAGCGTCTATTTCGACGGGGTTTTTTCTGGTTAGTGACTCAGTTTAGAGAGTGCCGTTATTTGCTTGTCGCTGAACTAGTTGCCATTTAATCGGGGGTCAACCATCTTGGTTTATTAATTTGTGGAATGATGGAAAGGAAAAGACGGATGGAAAATGAATTTAGGCATGTTTGGTTT